GCGCCTGTCTGGCCAGAGCCTTGGGAGGCTCGGCACCCACGTTCCTGGTCTGTGAGCGAAGTTCTGGGGCGGGAACGGTCGTTTTTAACTTATTTTTCTGTGAGAGAAGGAGAGCATGTCAGAGAAGGAAATAGCTGGTTGTACGCGGTTCTTAGTTGCTTCCCAGTTTTGAGAGAGCATCACCGTCGCACTGAAGAGTGCAGTAGTATTTGGTGGTCATGAAGGATTGTGATTATTTGTGTAAGATCTACATGATCACTCTTTTTCCTAGGTATACTTTCAAGTTGTCCTAAAAATCACCCTAGTTACTGTCAAGGGTTTGAGATGAGTTTTTTTCCAAGTAGCCAATGACTCTGGGTATTTAAATCCAAAGAAGTGAAATGGCTGTTTGAATCTCTTAACAGTTCTTTATCAAAGTCTGGCATTTTCTATGAAGTTTAAATGTAGGCTATTAGTTTTCTTTTTTTCTGTGAAAAAAGTAACTTTATATGTTGTTTTTCTGTCTTGGTTTTTGTAGCAAAGATGCTGAGCTTCTTCCGTCGAACGCTTGGACGGCGGTCCATGCGTAAGCATGCGGAGAAGGAACGGCTAAGAGAGGCCCAAAGAGCTGCAACCCACATCCCTGCAGCTGGGGATGCAAAATCCATCATCACTTGCAGAGTAGCGCTGCTGGATGGAACAGATGTCAGCGTGGACTTACCGGTAGGAGTGGTGAAAGATTGTTTTTTAAATACCGTTGGCTTGTGGCAATCTGATTGTGCTCTTTGCTGTTTGCAAGCTAGGTAAAAGCATATCTGTTTGTCGTAGCAACCAACCCTGTGACTTGATGTCCGCTAAGGTATGGGACAGAAAAAGGTACTGAAAGAATAGTTAAATTTGTTATTTACTGCAACTAGGGAGTGTTTTATTAGATGTCATTTTGCTTGATACATCAAACGTTTTCTAGTGTGTTGGTGAATTGTTGTGCTAATGTTTCGAATGAGTTAAGATTCTCTTTTCACCAAACTATGTATGCATCTTGAGAAGAAAGGTAGATTTTTCTTTCGAATGAGTTAAGATTCTCTTTTCACCGAACTATGTATGTATCTTGAGAAGAAAGGTAGATTTCTTAGTGTAGCTGTTAAAGAGGAGGGATGAGGAGAAGGGAGCAAGACAGGAGAGGTAACAATCTCAGAAAGCATTTGGCAGCCTTCTGCTAGATGTCGGTGTGACCAGTCACTGTTGGCACACCCCAGAATACTGGGAAGTTGTTTTAGGGTTGGGAAAGCATTTGGCAGCCTTCTGCTAGATGTGTGTGTGTGACCAGTCACTGTTGGCACACACCAGAATACTGGGAGGTTGTTTTAGGGTTGTTTTTTTTAATTTTCTCAGTGCTAGAAATAATTTCAGTGTGTTTTTTTGTGGTTTGTTTTGATTTTGTGTCAGGGATGGATGCAGTTCTTGACACAAATTTGAGAGGGGAGGGGAAGAGAAGAATTCTACTTACTTCCCTACCTCGGGGCAGATTATATAGCAGGGATCGTCTTATAGTGCTTTATTGGGAGTGAGGTGTTAGCCACTGTTTTACATTTCTAAAGCTCCATTTATATGCACGTGGCTGTTCTTCGCTGCTTAATTACATACCTGGTTTTGACCGGAAGGATGAACAGTAGCAATAGGAGTGTTGTTCTCTGTTTTTCCATTACCATGCATTATAGGTGTTACTGACTTGTTTTGAGCTTACATATCTGAGTTAGGAAGCTGTGGATCTGCGAGACCTTCTAACTAGTTCTGTACGATTTTGGCTGTAATAACAGTTGTGCTGGCGTTGGACTGCTGGCTAGAAAGTGTGTGCAGAGCAGCCTTTCTTGAAATGGATTTTGTTTTTTCACTTTCTTACTTTAAGCACAGTTCTAGAATGTTTATAATGTTAGGTAGTCTGAGGAAGGCTCAACTTGTTAAGAGTATGGAGTGGTGGTGTTGACACAGTGAACGGAAATAACTACTGTGATATCCAGAACCATAAGTAACTTAAAGAAACAGTTTAGCATCTTCATTTGCAAAAGGACTATATAGATGGGTGTTTGTAGAGGGTAGTAAAACTAGTTTGCACATCTCTGAAACAATGTAATGAACATACCCAGTGCTGCATAATGCCT